TTAAAAAAAAAAAAAAAAAAAAAGTATTTCATAAAAAATGATGCATAAGATTAAATGTAGTACTTTTGATTCAGAGAGTCCTTTTCTCTTTCCTCCTCCTTTTTTCCTGTGGGGAAAAAGTAAAGGAAGAGATTTTGCCCAGCACCACAAAAAGCACATTTTCCCTGACAGAAAACTTAAGTTTTCATTAATTGGGATTCAAAAAAATATTTCAAATGAAATAAAGTTTTACTCTTTCAAGCATTTTCATTAAATATGCATATCCTCCTTTTCATTAGCTTTAATAAGAAGAATGGTAGATTGACTGTGACCTGGGAGTATTTAACACCAGATCTTTTAGTAGTGATATTTCTATGGATGATGATCCTTGCCCAAAATCATCATTTACATGATCTGTCCTAGTGGCTCCAGTACATTTACCAGCTTCAGTTAAGGTTCTCTCATAATTAAGCCTTGACATGAATGAAGATTGCAGGATTAGTTCTTACATAAGTGCATATAGAAAATGAAAATACTATTCCCATAAGTGTTATAAAGGCCAAATCCTATCTAAAAAATCTCAACCTCCATAACCAAAAATATGAAGATAAAGAACAAATATGTGTGTGCATACACGTTGGCACCTAATCTACGACTGCAGAGCAAGCATAGGTTAAAAGTGCCTGTCTTTCTTTTCAGGTTTTGGTCCCTTTAGACAATACCTGGTTAATTCTAGCTGGGAAGCAGTGAAGGTAAGCATGAAAAAAAAAAAAAGGAGGGAGGGCTTTTATTTTGTGAAGATACCAATACAAACTTCAAAAAAGTTATTTCTCATGACTCATTAAACAAAATTGCGCCTCATAGAGCAGACTCCCAAGATGTAAGGAAGAAGATAATTAAGAAGTGAAATATTAGTTTATTTGCAAGATATTTTTTTTTTGGTGCTATTTAAACACCTTTGAAAATATTATTCTTGATTTTTAAAAAGGATATTTTTTATCCAGGGTGCCTTATCTGCAGCTAATGCGTATGCCACAGATAAACAGATCATCTCATACCACAACTCATTTTATCATGTCTGTGTGAGGCAATTTCCTTCTCATGCAAGTGTAGTCTATTGAGTTCTCCCTGCCTACTTCAGGAACACAAAACCTAAAGCCTACCAATTCTAAGTATGTTTTCACATTTCAGCTTTGGCTTCCACTTTCAACTGACAGTGAAGTCTACAGTTAAAAATTGAAAAAAGGTCATTCAGATTTCTTCCTCCTCCATACATCTTGACTAGCAGCAACAGGTCTAAGATGGACTCTTGAAAATTCCTGCTTATTTCCTAAATATGTATTAAAACAAATTTAGCTGGATGATACAAAGATGTGGTTTGGATAGCTGGCTTTCAGCATAAACTCTTCTGTTACAGTTGTTTGTTTTCAGATTGTTGTTTGTGTGAACCCACATTTCTTGGGACACACCAAAAATTTCCACAAATAGATTCTTTTTCAGGAACAGGATTACTCATTTTTAAAATATTATTTAAATTTTAACAATATCATAGCTTCTGTCTTTAAATAGGTCTTACAAAATCAATACCCAACCATTTTAAGTAAGGGTATGTCTGAAATAATTTACTAGTTTGGTACTTTAGCACTCCAGCTCAGTCTAAAGCATGAAAGGTCATAGTATATATGTTTAAACAGTAGAAACAGCTGCAGAGATTTGCTGAGTATCTGTACGAGTCACGTGCAAGGTTCATTCATTCTCGCTAGCACAGACAATGGCCTTTCCTTGAATTCAGTTACTCTTATAAGGTATTGATGAGCAGAGGGTCTTCACACAAGTCCTTCACAATTCCAAGGTAGAAAGAAGGTTGACATAAAGAACTTTGAAACTAGTTGGGGAAAAGTCAAGACAGTCAAATTGAATTGGAAGACTGGTCCAATATCTGCAAGAAATGGCAGATAATACTGGTAAAAATGGAAAGCAAGACACGTAAAACAAACTGAGGGGGCTATGTTCTATTATGGAGACTGAAATAAGCCCATATTTAAATTATTCTGGACAGTGAAATGACAAAGATAGCTAGAAGAAAGTATAAGTAGTGATAGAAAGATAATGACTCTACAGGACTATAACCATATTACAAGCTTTGGTGGCAGCTACTGAATATCTGTCTTGAAAATGTAGTGTAGTTAAGATGATTGAAAACCAAGGAGCTAGTACATTTTTCCAGAGGCCAAAGATACAGCAATCCACAATCTGTACATATTTTCTATTCTAGCTTTGTTGGGTGAAGAATGCCGAGTGCAGTTTAGTGTTTGGTAGAATAAGTCTATTGCCCACTCAAAGTCATGAGGGATGTTATCCCTGTAGGCTAACAAGAAACAAAAGTACTTCTGTGATACCTTTACTCAAGACATCACAGGAGACTCATAAATTATCTTAACTCCAACTTGACCTGTGCCCTAAACAAGAAATCTTTGTCAGTTGACAATGTTCTTGCTTATTATTTTCTGATTCCTATTGGTTCTAATTTTGGGTACAAGATCATCCTCTTCTGGCTGAAAAAGAGACATATTCTTTATCTGCAAGTAAAACAGCCTGAAGTGAAAACACACCGTTGAGATGAGGTTTCTGTAACAATGCCATGTGCTGGCTAAGCCAGGAAGTTATGTAACAAGGGCTACAGCATTCCATGATGGAACAGATGTCAGTCCTTGTCTGTGGAGGAGAACAAATCCATCTCCCTCTGATGTGACACCCTCTGAGTGGAATTAATTTGTATTCATACTGGGGATGCTGCTTTGGTTTCCTATTCCCTGGCAAAGGCGATTAATCCAGACCATTCAGGGAAAGTTGCTGCAAATCTGGAAGTACTTTCAATTTTGATAGGCTTCTCCGTGCTAAATAGCAATATCTCACAGTATTGTTCCATTGGCCTTGTTCACAAGAGTAGCCCCACGGTCTTCAGGAAGCTTATGCACATATATTAAAGACAGAAAAATTTAGTATTTACATCTGGAAGTAATCCTGTCTTGGCTTGGGGTTCCTGCATGGATCACTGAAGTGACATAAAGGCCTCCTGCAGAGTCTCTTTTCTGAGACCCAAGCAAGAGTACACCCAAACTCATCCCCAAGAAAGTACTGAGCAGCCAGACCAGAGCTACTAATAACAACTGCTCAGGCTTAATGACTTTGCAGCATTATCCAGAACTATCCTAATTACTACTTCAAAATGAACTGGGTCCTTATCAAAAGCCTGGATACCATGGTACCCTCAGAGACGTTGTAACGCTGATACATGTGATCTTAAGAGTTCACATCCCAGAAGGGCCCTCATACCAAACTCCTGTAAAAATGCATGTATCAGTAGTTCCAGGGTCCTAATTCTCCAAGCGTAGCCTTGCCCTCCATGCGTTTTGAAATGGGAGTCTTCGCCAAAGAACACCACCTTCACTTCTGTGAGCAATACTTCCTCTTACACACAACTGCTTCCTTAAAACCCCTGTTACAGCTTCTCTGTAAGATGTTGTTGCACTCTGCCTTGCTGATGGGATCAGCTGTTTTCCCTAACCTCTTCTCTTGCTATAGGGAGGCTTAGAGATTGATCCAGTGAGCACTAGCACATTCCAATAGTCACATCCCTTCCATGACCTCATCGGGCACTCAGAAAAATGGCTGGGCGGTATTGTTTCTCTTACAAATTAACTATTTATGACTACCTTTTCTGTGAATAAGCCAATTTCAGTTATCCGAAATCCACAGCAATCAGCTGATAAATGCTGATAAAACTCTCTGAATCTCTATTTCTGCTCATTTAGAAAAAGTATTTGTTCTGAATTCTTGGGTTTCTTATTGATACTATGGAGCAGTGCATTGTCCCGCATTGCCTGGTTTCAAATATGAAAATATAATTTTCCAAGAATGTGAGTGCCCCGTTGTTTTTCCATGAACCCATGTTCTCATCAGAGCACAAGTCACACACAGAAGGCACTCATCAGCACTGCATCCATGGAGTACTCGTTCCTCAGCAAGTACCCTCCGAGTGTTCAGGGAAATGGATAGTCAAGTGGATCTGAAAGTTCAGGTGAACCCACCAATTCAAGGTCATTGAGAAAAACTTCAGAGTTTTTATAGACACTGTCACATAGCCCAAGATGGTTGTCTAGCACTAGAAAGACAGCTTCTCTTTTAAAAACCTGTCTCACTAAGTTTTTCATGGTTCTTGTAACTCCATTCACCTGAAATACCCTCCTAAAAAAACCCACAAAAACTCCACCAGCAGCACTTTTAACTCTGGAAGCACAGAACATTCTCTCTAAAGGAAAACACCAGCAAGTATTTACTTTGCATTTGCTGACAGATCACACTGAGTTACCATGATGTGTTAGTTCTTCAGCACCACATGGGACCTTCAGAGTCCCAGATCCCCTGAATTATTTAGTCCACATTACAGATTGATGGTCCCACCTAATAACCCTTGATCTGACCCTGTTTCTGTGTCTCCTCCAGAAACTCCTGTCTGCAGCTTGGCAGCTAAATAACCTCCCAGGGCAGTCCACCATCAAGGTCAAAGTCCCCAGTTAATAGGGCACAAATGTAAGTTGAGTGACAACATTCACAGTAATTAAACTGTTAGTGCAAAGAACAGGTCACATTTCCAACTGCTTCTGGGAACTATGTTTGCTATCGGGAGATGAGGATCAGATCTCTGAGTGCAGTTTTCATCCTGCCACTGACCATGTGGTCTTTGGAAATTTGTCATTTAATCTCTCTGTCTCCCTCTCTGCTTTAGTTTCATCATCTGTGAAACTACGACAACATTGCTATTTAGTGCCTTCGTTTCGTTTCTGGAACTTTCTTACATTGCTAAAGCTTTAAAAAGGTATCTGCAGGATTAAAAAAAAAAAAAAAACCAAACAAAAAAAAGCAACAACAAACAAACAACCCAAACCACTAAAAAAAAACAAACAAAAAATCTTGGTTTTGCAACATCCCTGCAGACTGTCTGGGTCAACTAAAAACTTCTGGTTTTCCTTCTACAGCCTTTTTGAATCAGGTTAAAAAAAAAATAACACATGCAGCCCCCTGCCCCCCTCCCTGGAAACTCAAATCAGTGAAAACTCAGGCAAACTCAGTGACTTTTTCTGGAGTTTTCTAGAATTTCAAGATGTTTCTAACACCCCATGTGACACCACCACCACATCTGAGCACAAAACTGTTCCATGTAAATCCCTTTTCTTTGGGAAGGCTGCATAACAATGTGGGCCAGAACTCCAGCAGACCAAGACTATGACTGCAACTCACCACCAGCTCAAGGTCATCAGCTGATAATGCAGGATTTCATTTCTCTTTTAGAAGATCTTCCCAACAAAAGGGAAGCTTCATGCTTTCTCTTGAAACACTTTTCCCACAAAGAAGTCCTCCAAAACTTTTGTCCTCCTTTGAAGTTTCCTTTGCTGTTTCAACTACAAAAGGCAGGCACTTGTTTACTGAATTAACTCACCAGTGTGAGCTCAAGTTGCCAGATGCAGTCATCCTCCTCTAACCATCTTCATTCTCTCACCTTGAATGCAAAAAATGGTTTTGGTTAAGGCTGAGACAAAGAACAACCTTTTTTTGTTGTTGTTGTTGTCCCATGTTTGCACAACACCTGGTCTAATGAGGTATAAGCCCATGGTTTGGATTCTTAGACAACAAGGTAATACACATTACTTACAACATGCTGAAATTGCTTAGGACATACCAAACTCTCTTCCTTTGACACAAATTCTCAGCACTCTGCTATTGGCCAGCTTCTGATTTTGTCCTGCACAAGAGTATTTCTGCATGCTTATCCCATGACAAATGGTGACAACAGAGCATCAGTCCAGAGAGCACGAGAGGAGAACAGCCTCACAACTTACTTTGGGTCTCCACATTCCGTACCAAAGTTATGGGTAGTTGAGTCCTCTAAGCCTTACAGTCAAAAAGGAAGAATCTCATTAAATGTTAAAATTAAAGATGCTTTAGAAAAGAAAATGCTAATTGTGAACCAGCTGGGGTTTTCTTTTTTGGAAGCTAAGACACAGTACAGCATTCTTAGGCAAGATGATGCAATGGTCTCTCAAAGACTGTCAGCGCCCAGAGGAAAAAAGGCTGGCACTGTTCACTAAATGTGTTTACTTCCCTGCAGGCATTGTTTCCTTGCTTGTGTCAAATAGTTTATTGAGCACAGCTAATCAATGTTTCCGCTGACAAGAAAATTGGAACAGTTTATATAGGAAGCCAGTGTTGAAGGGCAAATTTCCCAGTTAGCACAGCACAGAACTGTGGGTCTCATCCGCACAAGTATCCTTAGTGAGAAACAAAAGCTTGAGAAGACAATGACATTTAGTATGAAGTTACATACAGGTTTCTTGGGCTAATCACACACCTCTGCTGCTGACTTTTTGCCTATGCCCCCCCTAGAATTGTCACCTGCACCCTCCTTTGGTAGTGGTCTACTTAATTGCAACAGGGATTTCCAAACACCATTTGATTTTCTTGGATGAAGCTTTCTACCTCGGTACCTCCCTTCTGCACGCTGCCATTGCAGCAGCCGCTGCCTTCTTGGAGGCTTATGCCTTGCGTGTTAGTCATCTTCCACTAACAAAATAATTTCAACTAATTTCCATATGACATTTATTCTCCAGACCATCTTCCAACCATCTGGACAACCCACTGCTTTCAAGGGCACCCTCATTTCTTTCACCTCAGTCCCCGGCATAATTTGTTTCCTCTGGGGAAAGGTCCTGTGTGGAAATTCACTCTATGTAAATGACAAAGAAGTAGTATCCCAATAAGTGACATTTTCTTTTACTAGAGCAACAGACTCTAGAACAAAAAAGAAATTAGAACCATTCTAAATGTGACCTTCCTCATGTTGACAGTCACCTTGAACCAGCTCAAGACAGCACATTGCATGCCACCTTGAGTGGACAGCTAATGTGAACTCTCTTGTGATTTCTCTTGATAGCACAGGTTGACCTACAAGATCTCTGGGAGGAACAGCTCTTACCTGTATCAAAACCTATTTAGTTGCTTTCAAGGGTGGACCTTTCCTGAGGGATTCTGTATTTCATGGCCCTCCATGGACCAGTCCCTACACAATAACCACTCCTGCCCACTGGAGACTGATCATCCCTTTGGAAAACACAACAACGGCTCCAAGTGGATGGGACATTAGCAAACTGTTTGGAACATTTTAGGCTCTTCCAGTTAAAATGGGAGCTACTGTAAAACAAGTGAACTCACTGTGGATCAGTGTTTAGGAAGCTTGAGCTTAGACAGCCCTACATTGCTCTTTCAGATGTTTTCTCAGTTGGACCAGGCTGATTTCTTTACCACCAGCAATCCAGTGCTCTTACAAAACCATGGTGGCTTTTTTGTAATCACAGGAACTGTCCAAGAAAGGCCTGGGTAAAAACATTGATCTCCATATCATGCAGCTGCCTGTGGTTTACCAAAAAGCAAAGGAGCAAGTCTTCAAGATATGGACAACTCTACAGCCACTGGTGAGTAAAAAGTTACACAACTTTTCCCTTTCGTTTATGAATATTATTATTCTGAGGGGATCTTTAAAAAGATCTCCAAAAGTGTATTGCACAATATGTGCATCAGACAACTCTGGAAAGTTACTATTAAAAGGTTTCAAATTGAAATGTAGAGCACACAGTAATTCACATGCTGTTTTAACCCCATGCCATTTCAACAGCCTAACTGCATGCTGCACAAAGGAAAGAAAAAATCCACCCTGAACTACAGAAAAGGTTCCGCAGCTCTGAAGTCCTGAGCTGACTAGACCCAACAAAAACAAACTAAAGCATTTTTTTATTCACATTTATAATCTCTTATCAAAGTTTTCTGTAGGCATGAGCTACAGCAAGACTCCCTACCTTGAAGCTAGTATTTCACATAATGCTTGGCACAATCGCATTACATGTTTTTTAAAAACAGGTCTCATTTTTAATTTCCTGTTATTTGCTCTGGTGGGAAAAAACAGCTTACTGTTCATGTTGGGCTGGCTTCATCCGCCAAAGCACTCATCATCCTTGAGCAGTGTGGGAAGAACAAAGGCTACCAAGAGATGGATGCTTGTGGTTTGCACCCAGAAGGCGGCTGTTGCATGCTAGATGGCCCGGAAAAGATTGAATCTACAATTAATATGAAGACTCTCTGGAAAAACATTTCTGTGGAAGGGATTGATATCATCTTTTCCAGAGATGCGGGAAGGTAAACACTGCATATCAAGGGCTCACAGTAAAAGCAGAAGTAACTCAATCAGCTCATTTAACCTTGAAGAATCTTTGTAATGACTTCTCCTCCAACCAAAACCACTTTGAAGCAAAGTCTTTAGAGGGGCACAAGTCTGAAATTGGGATAGATTTAATGTAAAGCAGCCTTCATGAAAAACTACAGCCAGTAGATATTTTTCCATGGATTTGTAAATTCCAAAAGAAACAAGTTTCAACATAGTGCGCCCTGTGATTAACAACCCCAGTAAACCTAAGCTATTAAGAGAGTCTGAAAGCAATACTGACTAGTAGCAGATTTTAATCTATTTTTCCCAGCTGGGAGGGATACAAAATGTAAATACATACACTGAAGAGCAGAGCAATTACAGGTACCTTTAGAATGATGCCTGTGATCTCATTATGTGTTTCAGTAGTACCGAAGCAATTTTCTATTATACTAGTCTTAATTTAAAAGGAAAACAAAGAAAACAGTAAATGATCTCTTTAAAAAAAGAAAAAAATACAACCAGCTCATCTTGGCACTTAATTTCAGGATTTGTACCTGCAAGTTAAACGGTAGGGTGATAAGGAAAAAAAACCCTCCAGATGGTGAGATTGTACAACTTGCACAAAAACTGTATTACACAGTTGTAGTTCCAGTGGGCTGTGTCACCTTTCCCATCTCACACAGCTTATAAAAGCCTAGAAAAGAACGCACGTCTTGTGATTTTTTTATTTAAAGTTCCTTCTGGGTGGGTGTCTGAGAAACCAAACCATCAGATAAGGAACATTTGTTTCTCAAATTTGGCTTATTTCAGCATTTCCTTTATTCACTAAGCGAATATGCTTTTAATAATTTCATAAACCAGATCTGGTTTGGCTACTTAAAAATTATTTAAATTTCAACAAAGTTCACTCTTAATTCAGGTCTCTGGTTTTGTTCTTCATATTGTAGGTATATCTGCGATTACACCTACTACACCTCTCTGTACTATGGCGATGGAAGAGCTGCTTTCATCCATGTCCCACCATTATCCAAGACAGTAACAGCAGAATTTCTAGGAAAAGCACTACAGGCAATTATCTTAGAAATGTTGAAACAATGTAGGGAAGAAAGAGAGTAACATGGATCATATATGAAAAAAAAGATTTCTTATAATGCAATTCCTTACCTCTTAAAAGCAGCAAATCTAAAGAGTCTTTAAAACCCCTACATAAATGATTTTCTATTCTGTGTGCTTTTCAGGGAAATTTCCTCACAAAAACCGAACAACTGTTTACATCTCTTTGGTGTAAAAAGCTTAGGAGAAAAACCAAATGATTGGCAGTCTGTATTGCTAACAATTATAAGGTTGCTTCAGATTTAAGAAAGCGTGAAACTGGATTTAAAACATTTTAGATGCTTAATCCTAGTTCTGATGGTTAGAAAGACATTAATAAAGACTTGCTGAACCAAGATGGATTGCCTACAGTCGTAAGGACACTCAGCACTGGGCAGACACAGCAGAGGCCCCTCAGCCCCTGCCTGAGCCCAGAGAGTTCAGTCTTACAATGTGCCTGTGTAAAAAACCGCAAATATGGGGGAAAATAAAACACAAGTAGGGATCCTGTTAATTAAACATAACATTTTACAATTATTTCTTAGTGACCTACTGTAAAGGCTGGTTTCCACATCACAAACAGGTTACAGACCCGTGGTTAGTTTAGTAAAGATAAAGCTGAAATCCAGCTGGAACTGTAATGCTATTAGTAATTTGGGTTTCAACTGCGTGAAAACACTACTTTAGCCCAAATTCTCAGTGCCTGTCCCAGAGGAACACACCGTAGTCCTTCCATAGAGCACAGCACAAAGACAAAAGTCTTTCAGTAGAATAGGTCACGGCTATTCAGGGACTTAGCATCAAAATCAAATAGCTGACTTGTCCCAAGAAAGGCAATCCCTGCAGCACTGTGCTGTGGAAAGTATTATGGCACATAATGTTACTTACAAAACAGGAACCAAATGAGATTCCAAATTGTAAAACTTGGGAGTCGGACAGTGACAGATCACTTCTGTGCCTCTCCTTGCCAAGCCAGGCTCCTCCACGTCTCCAACACAGACAGCTGATGAAGCCCTGGGCCACCATCCTGCCTTATTTTAGTCAAAACTTGGATGACAGGAGTCAGAGGAACTGGAAATGCCAAGATAATGCCAGTTTTCTTGCCACTGTCTTTTCCAGTGACCATTACAGAAAACTGATAACCATGTGCTGGATGGCTGAATGCCTCATCTGTAGATTGCTGTAAGGGTAAATAAACAGTTTTTCTTCCAATAAAGAAATAAAAATGCTTACCTTATTCAAGGGAACTACCTACTCAAAACAGTACTTAGTCCCACCAAAAAAGGGTCCACAAGCTCAGTGTCACTGGATGAAAATACTTCAGATTTCAACACAACACAATGGCAGTACTGACCTCTAACTAAGATTTATTCACAGTAGCTCAATTAAACGCAGCCAAAAAGGGCAGAAGAAAAACAGAAAAGATTTACTCTGAGTTTTCTAACATGTACTTGCTTTGCATAAGGAGCAACAAATTCAGAAACAGGCAAATGCATACAGAATTCTTTTATTTAACTTAAATCATGTAGTACTGAAACTACTAGAAAAAAGCAGAGTAAGAGAAACTAAAGGAGCCTTAGCTTCAGCCATTCAAAATAGACAAAGTTTCTTCTTTTCATAATGTAAAGAATCCCGAGTATATCGCAATAACAGGAATAAATTCTTACAACAGAATATACAAAAACATTTTGAAATTTTTTTTTTATCTACTGATTCATTTTAATATAAACACAGGAATTTCTTTAGGAATAATTTATACACAGCAAGTCTTTTTATGTAATAAATTGGCCATGTTATTGTTTAATTTTCTCTTAAAAAAATTTAAACAAGAAAAATTGGAAAATGTATTTGCAACTGCATCCATTCCTTAGCACTTTCTAGTTTTGTTTTTGTCCCAGAGGTAGACAAACTCTGGCCAATCCTTTCATCTCAAACCTCACTGGTTCAGAAAACAGAAGAGCTGATTTTTAAACAGTATCTAAATCATCAGAACCCTTCAGCAATGTGGTAGTCAAATTGAGGGGAGTGAGGGTGAAGGGATCTTCAATATGCTTAAATAAAAATAAATAGGGACCCCGCCTTGCGCATTTCAACAAAGCTTCAAATGGTGCTCAACGTCTTTAGAGGCTGCACGCAAACTTTTGATGTGACAAGAAATCTGCAAATAGGTCTTCAACAGTCACGATGAAAACCGCCCTCCCTCTTTCCCTTATGTAGTCGCATCCTTCAAACCACACGGCCACCGTGAAGCAGGTACTGAACAGCCCGAGTGAGACCGGGTAGCAGCAAAACCCGTTCTGTTTCCCCGACCAGTGAGGTTCTTGTGATCCGTGAAGATAACTGCCCTAGACAGTAACGTGAAATGACCAGTTAAGATGATCCCACCCCAACCAGAGGGCTCTGGAAGACCAGGATACTGAAGATACAGAACATTTCCCCAACTTATTTATTCATTCACTGTATACTGGGACACAAAGCTTGGGCGGGAAGGGGGAGAGGGACAAGCCATGAATTGGACAAGTCAGCGATCCTTTTTGGCATATTGTAAAGCTAGCTAGTAAACTGGTACCATCAAAAAAACTGATCACATACAGACACACCCATACACAGACACAGAAAAGTGCCCTTAAATTATATTTTAGGCATTTATAAACTACAAACATTTTATAAAATTATTCTATGTACTTACAAAATGCAATGAAACATTTAATTAGTTCTTGTAAACCAGATCTTCGTCAACTGACTACCCGTAATCTACTGGACTTAAAGCCCTATTGAAAATGCTAATGGATTACTAACCAACAAAATACATACCAAAAAAAAGATGAGCACACACACACGCATATGCACACACACAAACTAGTGATAGTCTTCAGGTACTTGCAAAACAGATCAACTGTAAGTTGAGACCGATTCATAGAGCCCACTGCTAACGACCGTTAAACTCCTGGTAATGAATTTACCACCCCAGCTGGAAAATCCAAAGGTTTATTTACAAGTACCAACGATCAGAGTTGTGATACCTGAGCTCTGATGCTGTCCCACAAAACAAGCTCAGGAAATTACCTCAATCTTCTGCCAAGCCCTGTGTCTTTGTAAACGCCCATTTCTGCATCCTTTGTTTCCACATGTCTCCACACCGGCCTGTCTCAATTCTGATTTTCCTGGCTGTGCTCCGGTTTGGAGGCTGGTCAGTGTCTCCGAGCAGCCAGTTTCTGAACCGAGGCACCCTTCGAAGCCCTCCTGCCTATTTGTAGTTCTGTATCTTCAGCACCCCTGGCCGCTAGTGTTGTTTCTACACATCATTCTTAAATTCTTGTCTGCACAACTACTCATGAGTTAAGTTGCAATATCTGGCTTTTATCACTGGTTAGTAAGGAGTGGATCCCTTGCACCTTCCTCCACTGTTGTTCAGCCCAGTGATTACATACACCGTTGACAAACAAAGTAAGAATAACAGGAAACAAGTGTTACTTGTACTAATGGAATGAAAAGGGTTTAAATAGATATATATCTATATTATAGATATACATATGCAGATATATATATATGTATATATAGATATATATATATATATATGGAGTTGTATCAACAATAGGAGTGTTGTTCACTTGGACACGGATTGTACTGAACACCCCTCGGCAGTTCCCAGAGGACCTGAGAGCAGTTCCATCTGGTGACCAGTTGTCCTGGGCAAACTGGGCTTTCTTTCCTTTGTTTTTAAAGACCAAGAGGAGCATCAGTGCGAACATGCCTAGAATCATACATCACTTAGAACCAGCTTTAAAGAGCAGAGGCATCACGCTGAGAAAGACCTGGTGCCCACCGGCTGGCCTCACACCTTCCATCACGCTCAGCTTCTGCGTCTAGTTTATGATTCCCCCAAAAGAGCATCTCATTTGGTACCGCGCGGCTGACACGTCTGTGTTTACGTAGGAGCCACATTCCTTTGCAACCAAACCACCTTCTGTGCCGCCGAGCAGCTTTTACCGACGAGTCAGGTGGGAACAATGGCCGCGCACTAACATCAAAGCCGCCTGCTCCCCACAGTGATGCCCATTTGTTATCCTACTGCATTAAAACATCTTGGTACCATTTGTCAAAATGCTGGTTTTCAGGGCTGGGTGGGCTTTTGTTTTTAATTTATAAACAAACTGGATTACTTTAACTTTATTCAAACATAGCTGAAGTTCTAAATAAATTTTCCATACCAGACAAGCCAGTGGTCTCAGGGAAGAACAACATTACAAACCGTATTATGACTCTATCAAGCCAACATTAATTCTCAGTTGTTCACATGCACAAACAAGTTGATTTACTGTCCAAGGGAAGTCTGCATGAAAAACCCATGTGAATAAAGCTATTCAAAATGCACAAAACACAACAAAAAAAAAAAAAGCTATGGAAACAAACAGAACAAAAAAGGAATTAAGCTTGAATTGCAAACACAGAACGCAATGGTATCATGAAGGTGGTTTGGTCCAGGAGAGCTGACTGTCATCACGCACGCGCACGTGATGCCACATGACTGTCTTCTACTGAAGTGCTTTTTGAAATGTTTATCATGATGGGTGCTACGTCATTAGTGTTTCATCCTAATGCATTTTAAAACCACCTACATACAATTATAAAAACCAGTAACTTGGACAGTTTTAACAAAACCCTCCTAGCCAGCTGAAAGATCTGAGGATCTCCAGTTGTGGTAATCAATATGTGCAAGAGAGGGGAACAGCCACTGCACCAAAAGGTCACCGGAACCCAATAAAAAATGGAAAAGCAAAACAACCTAGTAAAAACTTTAAATTTTGCTGGTTTCTCAGGGCCAGAGAGAAACGCTCGCTCCAAAGACAAACTCTGTAGCACTTAACCACAGCACTGTGTATTCAAGAGACCATGTACAACTTGAAGTAGCCAAGCACCACATTATTCAGATACCACAACCAACACCTGCACGAACAGCTGCCAGAGCTGGAAAAAGAGAAACATTATACATCAAGTTGATGGCAAGCTCATGTTAGTCCTGTGTGCTTGTAAACCAGTTACACGCTGTCAGAGGGCAGTTAAAATTTGATGGCTGGTCCATCAGAATCCACAGTTACGAAGCATATAAACAGGGGAAGAAAAGGGAACTGAATTTTTACTGGCACATTAAAAGAAATCAATTCAATGTTAGTTTTGAAAAAAAAAAAATATCAGTGCTCTCATCAAACAGAAGCAGCAAAGATCCAAAGCTGTAAACTCGATGTAGTAGTATCATCAGGCAGCCTGTGACAGGTTTTTTCATTGTTTTTTTGGTCAAGAAAGCAGAGCTATTGCTGTACGAGCCAATTTATTTTTAGGTGCTGATTCAGCCAAATGCCTTTTTGGTGCTTGTGGCATCTGAGGAAAAACTGGTAGGAATGACTTAGCTCATTCTACAGGACAAACAGAAAGACCATTCCCTTTAGTAATTCTTCTGGACCTTCAAACATTCTAAACAATTGATTTTTGTACCAGATTTCATCCAATACTCATAATTTGAAGTACTCGTATCAGGTTAGCTACGTCTCTGCTTGTCTAAACACGCAGTGTTTTGTTGCTGACCTGAGGACTGCTGCAACAGCACACTGAAAAACCCTGGTGTTTCCTTAAAGGATGGTCACCCTATATCAGACAGCTCTTTGATTTCTCCTCACAATAAAGAATGTGAACCAAAAAATTAGAGAAACTCCTTAGAATTGAGGCAAATATTCTGAAGTGACCCTTTGTGACAGGCAGTGACTGTTCCCCTCCAGAACCTAGAGCATGTGGTATATGGAGTGAGAGGTTACCAGTATCAACGGCATTTATTGGCTGCTGAGAAATGTGAGATGTATTTTTTTTTATATACACACATATAAAAAAATAAGAGTGAGGTAGATAAATGTTTGGAAAAAAAAAAAAATCAAAAACTGTCCCCCGTCATACTCAAAACCCCTTATCTCAGTATTTAAATTTATTATGGGGCATCTCTACAGTGATTTAAACTGATATCACAAAAATAAATAAAAAATCCTACATAGAATACCTTCTTAATTAACTTTTTTGTCTTTTTCATTTTTAAAAGGGAAAAATAACTATGGGACAGAGGCAAGAGAAGATAATGGGACCTAAACTACACAAGCAAAAAGCACTACAAACTTTTTAAAAATCTCCAGTCAAAACTAGCAATCAGTATATTTTAATTCTTTGTTCTTACTCAAAAGATTTCAACGTTTCCATCCCAGAACCACCTCTTCACTGCCATCATTTGGTTGGATCAGTGCTAAACAAAGGCTTAAGATGCTGTAACTAAGGTACGATGAGCAACTGGTATGACTCCTTGGTTGTAGACTTTCTGATGGCCCCCTCCTTCCCCTTTCACCAAGGCTTCTGCAACTGAACAAACAAGCTTACTCGTTTTCTTTTGTTCTGAGGTTTGGTCTATGATTTAAGCAACAAGCTCCTACTTGTACAGGTTTCCATAGCTGCCAACACTTAACTGTTTGCTAGCCAAGATACTGGCACCAGCTACAGCCTTTCCACCCAGCCCTGTGGAAATGGCGTGGTGGGTTTGGTTTGGTTGTTGTTTTTTTTTCTTGCCAGGGGTGCGAAGTGCAGCCCAGGGTGCCCTCCATGAGGGCTTCCTCTCATTAGGAAGGTGAAGAGCTGGGGTTTGCTGGAGCCAGGTGTTCAGTGGCCACCCTAAGAACGCCTGGCATCACTAGCTGCAACGGGTATAGCTCCTGTTCACGGGGCGGAAGGGTTACAATAGTCTTTTTAAAAATCAGTGACCCAAAAGCCTGGTGTCTGCTGTTGTACCCAACAAATGAAAAAAAAGAAGTATGTGTGTGTGTCTGTGTGGGGAGTGTGTGTGGGGATGGGTGGGTGGATGTGTGCCACAACCAAAACAAGCGGGGAGGGGAGGAGGGGTAGGACCCTTGTACAACAATGAATATAAACACTGAACAAGAATGTACTAAATATTTAACCTTTTTTTTTTTCTGACCTGAGTTTGTATCATGCCTTGCACTGTAAGAGACTCGCATGCTGTCTGGGCAGAGGTTAGTGGGAAGGAAGGAAAACTGAGGTTTAAAAACACCACACCACAGCACTGCTAGAGTGTTTCCGTGCAGGGTGTCCCTTCTTTCTCCATGTCCCCCTCAAAAGCCCTGTAGCCCACACAGCCAAGATGTTGTAAAACAACTAATGGAAAAAAAAAAAAAAAAGAAAAAAAAAAGAGGAAATGTATTTATAAAAAGGCATTAAACAGTTCATGGCAAATCATATGAAAGGTATCAGTTACTGGGAAGGAGGAAGTAAAAGTTACACACTATAGTACAAAGCATAAGAAAATTTGTTGAAGTGGGAGGGAAGGGAAGGAGGGCAGACCTGAAGGTTTTCATAGATTAAATCCACAAAGATAAAGAACAAAAAAAATAGCAGCTTTTTTCTGTACAGACATATAGATGAGTATCTGAACCGTAAAAAAGTTATAAAAGTGACACAAAAGACAATGTGTATGCAAATGATCCATGGTCTAACATAGAACTGCAAGACCCTTCGAGAAGTCTTAATAATAAAGAGAAAAGGTCAACAAAGCATCATATACTTGAATCCGGTTACTGCTTTTTTTTTGTCTTCTCCAATTTATGTTTCTAGGTGTTTTTTTCCTTGCAAGCCTGTGAAGGAAGGCAGGCTGCAACGATGGAGATCTCTGCCGGTTATTTTCATGTTTTTCATGTTTCATTTTTGGCGTGCGGTTGACTTTTTTTGTACGAAATGCACGTGTTTATTTAGCTCACCACTGCCAGTTTTGTCCAGAATTCACTGGGATGGGGATAGGGGTGGAGGGAGGGCTGTTTCTTTACCCCCATCCCTTTTATCTTCTCCATCACAAGAAAAAATAAATCACATTTTGTCCAGTTTTGAAAAAAGATCTAGACAATTTGATTTTTTAATTTTTTTTTTTTTAAATACCAGTGTATGATTGAATAGAATGTATTGGTCAGGATCTCTTTTAAACAGAGCAGTTGATTACTGTGCTCCTCCATGCCTACAAAAAAACAAAAACAAAAAACAAAGAGTTCATTTTTTTGGCAAAATTTGGCAGCGTTGAAAATGGTTAACAACCTTGGACGAATGATGGCCCTTTTTTATTCTTTTACGTGTTCCTAAAAAGATTAAAGAGCAACATTAAAAATCCAGTCTTTTTTAGTTGTTTTTTTTTGTGTGTTTTTTTTGTTTGTGGTTTTTTTTTTGTTTGTTTGTTTTTTTTATAAAGACCTACAGTGTTAGGCAGGTGCTTGCAAGGGTACCGGGGAGCCACCTGGCCTGCAATATCTTTGATCTGATAAAAGTGCTGTACGGTTGAACTTGCACGCAGATATGTTTCCCATTATGAAGCAAAGAGAGACAGGAAGAAAGAGAAAGAAGAGAGGAGAGAGAAGGAGAGAGAGAGAGACATCAGAACTCAAGTTTTCTGTTGCTATTAAGTGTTAACATTAGAGTTTTAAAAGGCCAACTGTGTGCCCCATGAATGGAGTCCTTTACTGAAACAAACATCTGCTTGCATATTGAAAAAAGAAAAATACGATAACTTGTTTACTGAAAAAAGGGTTCTCCCAAGTGCAGCTATGGCAGTTCTGAAGATCCACTGAGGTACAGTAGGCTTTTGAATATATTGTAATTTTCTTTCTTTCTTCCCCCAATGCATGTGTTTTTCTGTGTTTTATTTCTGTGAGATTCTGGTTCTAAGGATCAGCAGGCCGAAGACTGGGGCAAGGGTAAGGCCCTCTCATTCTTGCGTCCCCCGTTCATGTGTGCGTACGGCTGTCTCTCCTCGAAGCTGGCCCGAAGGACCACCACGCCCGGGCCGTTCTCGGCTTTGTGTCCTGAGTGCTTGTCAGTGGGTTGGAGGGTGGAGGAGGGATCTAAAGGAATGCTCTCCATGTTTTCAGTCTCCAGGTCAAGCTCCTCTGTATCTGGAGGCTTGTTCTCTTCACTGTAGAAGAAGGAGACCTCTTTGAATGCTGGATCCAGCTCGTCTTTAATGCTACCGATTATTTCCAGAAAGGAGGGCCTCATTTTCGGATTGTACTGCCAGCACATGCGCATCAGCTCAAACCTGGACAGGAAACACAAAACAAAGCCATTTACTGAGGTGTTCTACGAGCCCCGGCTGGAGCCCAACTATGACTGAACCAGACTGCATGTTTTAGAAAATCGTTCAATTCTGATGGAAGACAAAGCAACAGAACTTTTACAGACCGAGATCCCCTTGTCACATTTTGACCTTCTTCCTAATCACTTATTTGTAATACTTCTACAGCTCCTTTCCATGCACTCACCCATAAAACACTCTCATGGATATCTGACATCCAGGAGCATTTCGTTATTTTTATTCTGACTCGGTGTCTCTCTCTTTTTCCTCCTATGTCCTGTGCTTGCTCAATCACAGGCTACACGACAGTGCCTCTCAGAGTATCTTTTTCAAACAACCAATCCTTACCCTACTGATATCGCCTCAGAAAAAAATAAAATAGCCAATACACACAAAGGAAAGCACTGCTTTTTTCCCCCTGAAAAAAACCTACATTAAAATTAATTGTAATCCCCAAAAGACATTTCCCAATCTCAAAGACATTCTCTAATCTTTTATTTTAAAATTATGTTTTCATTTATGGCCAGGGATGCCTCAATATTTTATGAAGTGAGAGATCATCTGTTTAAGCACATCCATGATTAGATCTGTACAATGTCCCACGCTGGCAAAACAAAACCACAAAAATGAAACAGTAATACATACATAATGAAAACAGCATTTTCATGACATAGCAAAATTGGATATTCCTGAGAGATCGCCCTGAGTTTTAAGCACAGCGCAAGAAAGGATTTCACTGTCTGTGAAGGTGGAAGAGGGATGTCTTGTTAACACAGCACAAGTAATGATATAAATTTAAATAAGGAAAGGAAGATTAGCATTAATTCTTTGAGCCAATCCTCTGCATACACAGCACTCAGAGAAACACACTGTGTGTAGGAAGTCACCACTGGCCAAAACTACTACTTTACTAGAATAAGAATGGATTAAAAAAGGAAAAAGAAAAAATCTTTCAGTTCAGATAAAGTACAGGAAAATCCTTCACATCTCTGACTCACTCTCCAGCCCTGACCTGCAGTCCCAGTAAGATTCCCTCTCCTTGCCTGGCCAGCAGCCTGGTCTGGTGGCCAGTCTGGGTTTATTTGCCCACCTCTGCCAGCCTTCCCGTACGAGGTTAGCCAGGTCACCTGAACTTTTAGTTCTGATTCTATAAAACACCCACACCACTTCCCTAACTTCCAGAGAAGCACACAATTCTATTTTATACCTTAATTAGCTCTCACTGCCTTATGCCCCAGCAGCAGTTTACTAGATCTCTGCAGGAGTGGAATGACTTTTTTTTTTTTTTTTTAAATTAACAAAGGAGACAAAAGACAAACAAAAATTCACTCCTTTCTGAATAGCACCTAAATCCATCACAGAGTAATGTCTTAATGTCCCCGGAGTCCCTGTTCTAGAACAAACCTTTCAACAGGACTATCACTGAGCTGGAAAACCCTGGACTCTGAAGCCTCTTGCTGTGCTTCACTGCCCACAGCGGGGTCCGGAGAGTCTGGGAACCCTGGGCTGAAGCAAAACCAAAGCAAAGGAATTCCCTCCTGCAGAAACTCACTCCTTGGGAAATACTCTTGCATTTTCTCATGGGGTGCACTATGTAGCTGACGTGAACCAGTAAAGAGATGGAGAGCTGCTGTGCTTGGGGTACAAACACTGCTGAGAGTGCTTCAACCTAAACAAAAGCAACTTTAACTAAAGTGCATCTGAAGTCACAAATATTCCTGTGAGAGCTCAGCTGGCACAAGGCTGTATGAACAAAAGTCAGCCACCTGAGCATGGCCTTGTGACACCCAAAAAGAAGCTGACAAAACCAGTCTGTGCTGGGAGAACTCCCCGGGGTACTCAATGCTGTACTGTAACAGGCACGTAGACATGTAAACACTGTTAAACTATTGCTCCTCTTCGAGTCTTTAAAAAGCCTTTCATAGCGAAAGTGAAGCCAAACTATAAAGCTGCACTATACCCTCACTCTCAAACGAGGAGGAAAGCTTGAGACATAAATATATAAAATCCATTTCTGTTACTTCATTGCTGTTTCCTTTCCAGCTGACTGCTGCGTCCCTGAATAGAAGCATTAGCTGGAGCCAAGAACACTGGATATTCGCTGGCGCTTTGCCCTGAGGCCTAAGGGCAATGCTAAGGAGATACCACAAGCAGTGGAGTAATGCATGTGACATCAGCACAAACAAGGACATGTGATGTTTCTTTTAAGCCATTCCAGATTTAAAAACCCTACACAGTTCCCATAAAAGGATTTTTTTTCCCCCTTTGTAATTCTGTGGGTTCAAAGACCTTGTTTACATTATCTTAAACAAAACAAACTTTTCCATTAGACAATGGAAGAATTTACAGGCTGTTAATACAACCTGAGCAGTTTTATAAAGTATGTTCCTGACTGGTGGCAAGTGAACTCAGGAAAGTCGGAGGCATCACCATGAGATAGAGGATTAGCCAGCATCTCTCACTTTTGCTCGAAGAGCTGAGCAGAAATGGAGTTACTTTTTGCACTGAGACAGTAAAAAACAGAAAATGGAAAGTTATTATAGAAGCTGCATTTCATTTCAGTGTGTGTTCGCGCTTTGCATCAGACTTGATTTGGTGGGGAAAAGTGAACAGACCTCTCCTGTTCTGCTGTTGCTACACGCTGACATTACCCCTGCACAGCAGACCCTGGTTTCTAACCGACAGCTTGACAGGAACAAAGGGAAAATCAGCAATGCGTAAATACTCTCGTCATCTACAATACATATGGGGGAATCAATTTTGCTTCAAAAACAGAGTGGAATTCCAGCCTCCACAACTTTTAAAAGCCCCATGGGAACACACTGTCTGAGAGCTTCAGCTGTAACAAACCTTCTTGCCACACAGCCATCACCTGATGAACACTGCCATAACAATGGTAGTACATAAAAACATAACTTATTACACAGGAAGAGGAGAAAAACAGCAAAGCTTCTCCTGGCACCGTCTTATTGAACCATCTGTCTTATTGCATAGTTCTGTCTGTAAAACCATGCAAACTATGCCAAGAGGGTGTAGCACAAACAGAACTGAGTCTTGTTTCACCCTGTGTAAGAGTAAAAAGCCTCTAGAAATACTGTCCCCTTTGTGCTTAGCCCTTTCACAGGGATCCACCACCTCTCTGAACCACAAGAAAACCATGCCATAAAATCCCCCTCTGCACAAGCATCTGATAGAACCAAGCTGCAGAGCAGAACCTCTCTAGTTCTTCAAGTGTCCTTGGCTCTCTGATCCATCTAAAAGTCACCGACTGGCTGCTACCAGGGGTTAGGAAAGCAAAGCCACTAACAAGCATTACTAGCATTGCAGTCTTAGGAGAGATGGCACGTCCAAGGCTGCTTGCACCATGTAGCATTCACGCAGGGGGGGCAGCGAGAGGCCTTTAGGAAAACTACTGCACTGTGGCTGGAGCATGCACGGCTGTGTCAACACTCACATAATCTGCAAGGTTAAAAATAGTAGATTCAGTGACAGTTGCAGCAAGATTCTTCTCTCTATTCTCATCTATGCTTCCCCACAGCAGTCTACCTCCTCCACCTGTTCTGGAGGTTTTTGTATGTCAGTATACTCCTCTCTCTCTACAGAGAGGTAAATTTGTGTTATGCCCATAATTGTAGCTGTTTCCAAGTCAAACTGATTTAAAGAAAAAAGTGTCTCTGTGTTTGTAGCCTACCACATGAGATATACAGAAGTGCAGTGCTGGCTCCCCTTCTCGCCTGCTTTCACGCAGTACCAAGCACAAGAAATGCACTGACTTCCCTGCAGCAGGTGGACTTTGCTTTCTGGATATCTTGAGTTAATAATGTGAGTTAATATTAAAGTGTCACAGACCAGTCAGTCTCCACCAGTAAGAATTTGTGCTGACTAAAAAAAATACCTTCCACTGGCACAGACATGCCAAGAAACCCATCTTTAAACCGAATCTTTTAGGACTCTCCACAAAAAAAAGGACCCCCTATTTTACAAAGGGTTTTTCATAAAGTACTTGAGAAAGCAGTTGCCTGAAACATGCTGGGGATGCACAGCGAGATCCGTATGGAATTTCAGGGCGCTCTGCAATTCTGCTGCAAGCACCTTTCTGTCAATCCAGTCACTCTCTTGTTAGGCCCTGCACTGAGAAGTGGGTTAACAGACAGCTGGAACAGGAGAGGAACTCTGCCTACAGACCAGGTCTCTGCGCCTGCCAGCAGCAGCACACACAAGGTCCAGGACTGGCAGCAGTTGTCCGGTTACTGAGTGCTGCACAGCATCTTTACAGCATCTTGGGCAAACAGGATGGAAGAGAGAGAAAGAAGCAAAATCATGCAAAGAAAATAGCACCACAGTAACACAGAATAGGTACTTTGCCAAATGCATGTGCATGGAACAAAGGTGAAGATTATTCCTGAAGCTCCCTACTGTTATTGCCACAAGAGCCTATTTGAATTTCAGCAGACTTGGGTGTCTGTCCTAACACAAAGACAAAACAATCTGAAAGGGAGCTAGAGCAAGTCACAATAAGCTTCTAAGGTCAACAGAATTTTATTTTTTTTCCCCCTTTTTAGACAGAGTCAGGATGTTTTATACACAACTGTATCAAAAAAAAACCCCAAAAGACACAACTAAACTGGATGTGCCTTAGTTCTGAGTTCAGAAGTAAGATTTTTTAATTCTGCACATCTGCAATGTCAGGCTAAAGTCTTAGTGGCCGTAACTAATGCATGAACAGCTTCTTCATTAAAACCAGCACAAAAAAGGCCTTTGCTGTTACATACCGGTGCAAAGATTTGCTCTGCCAGACATTAACCAAATTCTCCCAGCTTGCAATCCAGAAAGTAGATTCATCCTGTAGCAACACCCAGCAAGCAGAGGAGTATCGAGGAGGAGGAGGAGGAGGAAGGAGGAAAGAGAAAGGGCTGGGTGGGCTGCAGTAAAGAGAGCTTCTTGCTGTAACTCCTCTCCCGTCCCCCCTGTTCATACCACACATGCCCCAGGTTAACGGGGAATTTCTAATGATGAATCTTTTGCTGAGTTCGTTCTCACTGTAGAGGTGTTTTTCTCCTATGGACTCGGGGAGCTGATCCCCACACACGTTCTGTTCTTCCCCCATTTCTGCCTCTTCCCCCCCTCCCTTATACAGCTCTGACCATGTTAAACAATCTCCAGTCAATCTGACTGCCAGAAATGCTCCACAGCATCGTGGAAGGGAAAGAATGTGAAACTGAGGAATCACATGGCAGCTACACCTCCCCCTGCATATACCACCCACTCCCCTCAAACAACAAAACAACACTGCCTGTCATTTGAAACCAAAGCCAGCACTCCAGCCAAAAAAGCTCTTTTCCTAAGAATCCCAAGCAGCTGAGGCCCTTAAGTGATTGTATCCCTTCTGTGGGCCTCCAACAAATTTCAATAACTGCAAGACACAGTATTTCCTTCCCAAAAGCCAGTTTGGGAAGTATATCAAAGTAATAAAGTCTGAACAACTGAAAGTGCTGTACACAAAAGCCAACAGAAGTATTTCAACAATGTAAAGCTAAAAACTGAAGCCTGCTGCACTGCACACCCTTCTCTGCTTGCAAGGCTTTGTATTGATTCTAGGGGTAGGCAAAGGTTTTTCTGTGTACTTTCCATGCTTACAGGAAAGGAAACTGTTAGCTGGGGAGATTTGTTTATCTCAACGTGATGAGCGCTGTGACTGAAATTGCAGATCCAAAGCTGCCTCAAACAAAGGAACGATACATTCATTTCTCTGCATGCTGAACTGAAACGTCAAAAACCACAGAGTTTACACACAATACATCCTAAGCTCTTTTTTGTCTTTATACTCACAGAACCTATTAAAGCAGGGGAGATGAGATTTAGACACAAAGTCTCCCGCTGTAGAAAATGTCACTTATGAGCTTTTATTAAATTTAAATTTATTCAGGAACACAAGGATTAGGGTTTATTTTCTTATTTGAGGAGATAGCCCAAAGCAAGATCCTGGCCACAAGCAAAGTTGTTTCCTGCTATGTCTAACTACTACAGCATATGAGATTGACAGAGACTGTTCAAGCAGCACCTCACACTATTATCACTCTTTAATAACACGTCCTGTCAGAAGCAGACACTGAAGGGATCATGAAGAATAAACTGTGCACCGAGAACAGTGCTCACTGTTGACACTTACAGCATATCAGGGCAATTGTCTGGTTTTTCCAGCAAACCTCCTTCCATCACAAAGCGGAGCACTTGTTCATTGGTCATGCCTTGGTACGGCTGCTCTGCTAACGTTGCAATCTCCCAAAGTACAACACCAAAAGACCTGGAAAACAAATCAGAACTTTAGAAAGCAATCTTCACACGGGTATTTCTCTTAGATACAGAGGTAGGTGTTCATGGGTATTTTCTTTTACCAAAAAATTCCAATTGCTCAAAAAGCATGCAGCTGTGGTGACAGCCACATCACCAAGCATAATCAGCTTGACTTCAAACACCTCTAGTCAATGGTGAGAAACAGACTGCCAGTTCTGAACGACTCTTCAGAATGGCCTCTGTAAGAAACGACTGGTAATACTACATCTCCACTTCTCACCACAATCTACAGCTCAGAGCTGGTCATGATGATGATCATTCAGTGGTCCAACATGGCTTGATGACACCTGCTCTGAACAGGTCAATTAGTAAAAAGGCCACCACAAGCTCACTGCATTGACCAGAATCCCCCAAACTCAGAGGAGATTTAAACTGGGAGCTTGCCTGGAGAATCAGCTTGCATCTCATCTCCCCTTCCCACGGCTTTGAGTTCAGACTTTAGGTGCACTGCAAGGTGGGAAGAACAGTGAAGAGGGGAAAAGGAAAGATGCAGATAAGGAAAAAAATAGATTTTAATTCTGTCCCTATCTCTGCACTTCCTGTAGAGGACCCCAGGCTGGACAGACACCTGATCAGGAACATCTGCAAAAAGATCTGTGTGTGGCTGGGTACGGGGATTCAAACCTTCTAAGCAGATGGAGAAGCTGCAGAGACTGGTTATTTAAAGTGAGCTCAACAAGAACCCCCCCAAGCCACAGAGAGAGCAAGAAAAAAGGATCTGTACCTTAAAAAACCCTAAACTCAAAATCTTCATGTAACATATCTCAGGTACCCCTGATAGCAGTTGAGAAGGCAATAATGCAGAACTGTAAGCTCTCATTCCAGCGCAAGCTGCTTTTCATCAGAAATACTTGAGTCACACAAATCCCATTTAAAAGCTGCCTTTTTCCCTTACCGCTGTAGCAAGCTGAGAGCCAGACAGCAAATGCACACCACCACACCTGTGCATCTCATCTGTCTTACCACTGAAAGCAAGCAAACAAACCAACCTCTAATTCCCCAGGCACAAAACCAGCTCTTGGGTAATACCTTCCATTTATCCCCTTGCTTTGGTTTCTTCTGCAAAGTAAGGATCAAGGCATTCAGCATACAGCATTCAAGCAACAAAACCCATTTTTGAGAAAGATGGAAGACATGTGAATGTTCTCTGGCTTCTTGTACCAAGACCCTAATTTGCTGCTTCAGCAGCGAAACTTAAGCTCCCAGGAGCAACTCGGTTACCCCTTTTGCAACATGTGTGTAACTATGTTCTTGCAACAGAGCTTCTAACTCTTTCCAACTAACTACAAAGGACACAGGAGTGAAAAAAAGAAATCTGTCTAATAATAGGAATTGATTACTGGTGAAGAAAGAGAAGCATAGTTATGTAATTGGGTAGTTTGGACATAAGTATTGACACTTTCTAAAAATATCTCCATTTAAAATTAGTTTATTGAGCAGACATGGCTCAAATTGTCTGCCCTGCCCTGAAGAGTTACCTACTTTTAGAGCTGCTGTGCAAAGGAAGAAAATCTAGATGCTGTGCCTTCTCTGACTAAAACGCTGAGTCAAGCTTAGGGGAAAAAAAAGCGTAGTTTCAATATGGTATTGTTATGAAAACAGGAGTCCAGTATTATTAGCTGGTTATGGTAGAGTGGTTTTATCTTTCAGTTATCCACTGTATCTAAAATGGTTTGCATCTGGAGCCAGAAGCCACAAACAGACTTGCAATTGTTTGCCTTTCAGGGGAGGGAGGAACAGAGGGTCAACTCAATATTTTGTTGCCTTTGAAGCTACTTTGATCGCTGCAGGAATAATGAGAACAAGTCTTGCACACCTACCAGTCATATTATCATAACAAATAAACTTAAGTTCCTCCTTCAAGGCAACTTACCAGCTCTGAAAGAATGCAAGATGCTGAAGTCTTATTTATAAAAATACACCCTTAGCCTGAACAGTATTACATTAAAGTGCTCTCCTTCCCTAACTACAACAAAAACAGTCTTGTCTAATTACATCATTCTTCAGTCTGAAAAGCAATAAAAGAATGAATTGCTAAAATAAAGCTCCACCCTTCAAAACCTCCAGACAGTCTTTTTGCAGTTTGCCATTTCACCTTTCAGCTTATAAATCTTGGGACTCTGACCACTTACAGTTTTGTCTTTTTGACATTTTGGCTTCTAAAACTGATCTCGAAGAACATGGAACCAGATGTCACAATATCCTACCAAAAAGGCAGGGAAAACCATCTCATCATTTTTTACTGTTTGATGAAAATAAATGGCCCCCAAACCAGCCAAGCTACACAGTTTACACGAAGCAACCACAAAATCTGAACCTGTACAAGGAGTCAGGTAATTTTTCCTGGCATGGAGACCTTCAATGTATAGTATTTGGTCTAAAAGTTATTAGGAAGTAAACGGGACTGATCCTTTTAGCCATAAGCAGATCAAGTAAACAGATGCTATCATGACAGTGTTAAGTGAAGCTCCACTACACATTTGGAATTCTGACTGAGATTTCTGAATCTATAGCTGTGGATACATGTGGCAAATGCAAATGTATGTGTTCCAATCAAACAGCATACTCCTCACATTGAGCTGGGGGTTTTGTACCTGAAGATAGTACACCTATGTGAACCAGATCTCAGAGTAAGTCAGAACTAACAATTAAGACAACAAACCATCCCAAGGAGAAACTGTCTGAAATTCTGACGTGCACTTCCTCTCCATAAAACAATTTTTTTCTCTCCATGCTTTCAAGTAAAAAATCTGTAAGATTTAACTCCTCCTCCTCTTAAGTTTTCCAACCTTATAACCAGTAAGCTACTTTCCCTTGATGTGACTTTTGTCTAGGATATTTCACTCAGACTGTCCTGCTGATAAACTGCAATATTGTTTGCTCAACCCTGGTTTGGACTGAAAGACTGATGAAGGCCAAATCTTGTTAACACTGAAGGGAGAACTCACATGGTTCCTGCAACAACTAAAGCACTAATGACACTTGATTTGGTGTCACATCTGTGGGGTGTTTTGTTTTTTTTTTTTAATTTGAACGCTGTTTAAACAATAATGTCACTGAACAGTTATAGGTTAAAAGGGGAGCGTGTATAGAGGAGGTGCTGTATGTCACCAAAGCTGGACACCTGACCTGCTGCCGTCTGCCTCCGATAAAAAGGCTGGAGATGACAGCCGGACTTAGAAGTTCCTGTTGTGTGGTAAGTACAGGCAGGTCTGCCAGCTCTTCACTCCAGGCTCATTCAGTTCTGCATCTGGGGATTTTCTAGTGATATATTCCAAATTTCTGTCTGCTTTGTGAAGCCATTACAAGTCCCAAAATTCTTTTACTGCAGGGGGATGGCCAAAAGCATGCCTGTGCTGTTCCGTTAGATAAATGGCTGACACGGGGCTTCCCCTTCAAACTCAAAGTGGTTATTTTCAACTATTTCCAAGTTTGAGGGTTACTGGATTCATAAATAAGTCACTACCAAGAAAAAAAAAAAAAAAAAAAAAAAAAGCAGTGCAAAATCCTGGTGCTTTGCTTCTTCACTTGCTACATAATTCTTTTTATGAACCTTTCACTCAGAGCTGGTGCTGCGGACAACAATCCACTGACTCCAAAATCTTCCAAGCTGTTTAAAGAAAATGCAGTTTACTACTAGAATACCATTCCCACTGACTTCTAGACATTTGGAGACAATCAACTGCCAATTCTCTAACAGATCAGCAGTAAAAACATCTTGTTAGGAAGGCAGAGAAATCATAAAAGACAGAGTAGAGTTTTTGCCAGTACATGTTCATCTTCTGCCAAGTCCTCCCTACCTATCTGCAAAAGTTTGGGGTGTGCATGTGTGGGGGAATTGTTTCAGAGTATTATTTCTTCTAAGAAGTATTTTGAAATTTCCTGAATGCATCTATTAATATCTTCACAGATACAGCAACCAGGCAACGTGCTTTTAAAGAAAAACCTATTTCTGCATCTTGTGGTATATAAAACAAGCAAACAAAGCTCCAAATGGAGAAGGATATACACAAGGGAGGACTCCCAAGAAAAAACCTGCTAGTGTACACAAACCGTCTGCAGGAAAGTAGAGTTATTTACACAGAAGGTTTTCATAGAAAAGCAGGTCAGCACTATGAACCTTTCTATATTCTTGGCAACTTTTAATGCTTTTCTTGAAGGAGGGCAATTTGAAAAATGACAACTTGCTCTTCCAGGTGAAAGTAATGTTTTTCACTGCACAACTGATTTTACAACCCACAGCAGGAAACATGCCGCCACCTCCAGTTTTGGAAATCCATTTAGTTCTGCTCTGAGAGCAGAACTTAACCTCAAGAGTTCTTGATTTTTGGAATGGAAATATGAAATATAAAGCAGAATGCTTCACAGTGGAAAAAGGAAGTTACCTTTGAAGAGACAGAAGCAGCAGCATACATAGTTTAACAAAACAAGAAAAGAGGCTAGGAAGAAGAGGGGCTAAAACATTTTTCTGAGCCCCTTTTTTGTTACCAGACATCGGAGTGCGTTGTGAAGACTCCATCTTTCAGTGATTCTGGGGACATCCAGCGGACAGGCAGCAAACCTTTCCCTCCTTTACGATAATAATCTGTCTCGTAGATATCTCTTGTCATGCCAAAATCTAGAAGGTATAAATGTTTTGAGTTTGTAGGATAAAACGGTGACCATTTCCCCTTACTACAAGCCACTGTAGCCAGCAGAGAATCACAGTTTGGTGCAAAGGATCTGCAATCTGTTACCATGACACTTTGCAGGCACTTTACCCGCTGCCTTAGTGCTGGTTCCCTCCCGACAAAACCAACAGACAGTTTTACCACTGACTTCAGTGGGTGAGAAGTCTGAACGATTTAAATATATTAATATGAAAAGTTCCAGGATTTATGCTCAAGCTTCAAAGCAAGCTAAGTCTTCTGAAGGTGATATAATTCACTAATCTGTTTTCTGAAGTCAGTGATTTTCTTTCCTTTTCAAAAGGTGTAAAGAACTCCTTTAGTACTTAATAGTATTGTCTTTAATTAAATAATGTCCTATGTTGAGGGAAACGCTTCTCAGGTTGGTTGGTTTTCTTCCTCTCTGCAAAAGTAATTTCCAGTCTCTATATAATATTCCATCTCAAATGCTACAGAGGATTAGGCTATTCATTTATGACTAACACAGACCAATATTAAAGACGTACTTCGGGTTATATGCATGTCCTTAGCTGTAAATACGTAAGCTTGTGCAAGACTTGGGATCTAACAACACTCACCTCCTGACTGTAATTCAGATTTATTCCAGCATTATTTTCTGTACAATCAGCCTGATGCACACAAACCTGCTGGATCTTGGGCTAGCCTATTTAAACCAGTTCCTGTGTTTTCAGACGCTAGCCAAAAATTTAATATATCAGGTGGCATCAAATCTCTTACTAATATTAAATGCTGTTTGCTAACACAGCAGACCTAGGGCAAAATGCATTTTATCGATACAGACCTGGAGTTGGCCCTTTTTTTCTGGGAAAAGTGGAGTGAATAAGAGGACAGAATTCCTCCAGTTCTTGTAGCTGTTATTACCAGTCTATGGATGTCATTATTACCAGGCTTGGATGAGTGACCAGCCACTGATCCTTCTCGTTCCTTGTCTGCTAGGGACACGGGTACCCTCAGTGATTATGACTAAAAAGCCCATCTGTGCAGCTATTCCATCACTCCCACACACCAGGGTGACTTTATCCTGGTTGAATGGAAAATTCTTTAAAAATGCAATGCAAATAAGAAACCGATAGCAACGAGCATAAGATAGCGTAGCATAAAGCTCTTCCTCTGAGATCTAAACAGTCTGAGTTGGTGTGTTCCAGTCAAGATGCTCCTAAACTGCTCCTACACAAAGGGGTTTTCAATACTGGTACGTAAATGAGAGCAGTGCAGAGTATTTCACAAAATGCTTTTGGGGTAACCATGTACCATGTTAAAGGGAAGAAATGCATCGTTTTCAGTTTAAAGAATTGTAAAACATGATGGTGGGGGGAGGAGGAGTGAAAAAACTGGAATGGGAAGGCTGACTTCCCCCAAACCTGCAGAAAATGCACAAAATCCCCCAAAGATCTTATTTCCCAATTAACTGACTCAAAATGAAATCATTTTTTCTTTCTCCCAAATGACAGGATTACTTACACAAATTATCAAAATAGCTGAGTTAAGCTCAGAGAAAAAGCATTAGTTTCCTACAGCAGAAGGCTGTTGCTATACATGTTACTTTAATATGCACAACTCAAAAACAGCCAAAAGCTTAAAATCACCCTCTCTGGAGAGAAGTCTGAAAAAACTCATCTGACACTAGTTTGGAAGGATGGTGAAGGGAAAAAAAAAGCGGTGTTCTAACAGCAGAGCAGAAGAAAAGCCATTCTGTTGTCTGGAAAGCAGAACTCCAGTTCAGACTGGAAAGCACCCAGCTGAAGTCAAGCCTTACATTCCACTTCCAAATCAGATATGCTTTAAAGTAATCCTAAAATTCTTATTCTTAAATCAATAAACAGGAGGTGGAATTATTTTCGTGCATTAACAGAAAAGTGAATGACACACCAGTGGTAACTACGCCATCCACCCAGATGTCTGCAGCATCTGCACCTCAAATCACTGCTTCACTAGCTCTTTTTAAACCCACACGCTATACTATTTCCTCACTGGAACAATGGCAAGCAGAGGTATTCCAAGAGTTTCAACTCAATGTTGACTGCTCACAGGTCTTAAATCACAGCAAGCCTTTATAAGGAACATATTTCATTCTGCAGAAATTTAAACTAGAGCTCAGTTTTAAAAGATCTTTCAAACAGCTTTCAAAAAATCAAAATGCCTTCTAAGATGCTGATTTTGCATTTGTGTAGAAGTCGAGAAAGCGCACCTCCAATTTTCACTGTGAAGTCTTCTGCCACCATGCAGTTTCTCGCGGCAAGGTCTCTGTGAACAAATTTGTTGGCGTTGAGGTATGCCATCCCATCAGCAATCTCTCCTGCCATCTGAATCATCTTCTTCAGAGTTGGAGGTGCCTGGCCAGGATTACTCTGAGCAAGATTAAGAAGGTAAAACAGGTAAGGGGGAAAGAAAAAAGTAACTAACTATTTCTATGTCAAACTGCAACATACCTTTTTTTTTAAAAAATAAAAAAATAAAAATCATATTAGCACAATGCAGCCCTACATGATCCAGGCCAAGGAGAAACTCATGATTATGTACACCATCACATCCGCTTAGTGGGAAAACTGGCCATACCAAGCTGGGTTACAAACAGAATTCCTAAATAGCTCTTTTACAACAAGGCCATTCTATTTTAGGGAAAACAAGCCAGAAAGACTTTTTGCTATAAGGCTGTTATCTATAAGGCTGTTACCTATGGAGTTTAAATGTCCATCCTTCTGCCACATGAGTTCTGAGATACAAAGCAGAGGGCTTATTTTAGAGATTTCACAACCAACCAGAAGATGTTAAATGATTTCATCTCCTACTCCCCAATTCTCCATAACCAGATGTCTCTTGAATTACTTCTATTTGTACACTGGAGGAAAGCTTATGGGACAATTTCTTCTGAAGCAAATTCACTCCTTAGCACCTATGGATACAGGGCTTCTGCCATTCTCAATCTCACGGATGGAAGGAATTCAGGTATATTTACACAGTCAGTTAAGTGCCACCATCCCTTACCAGCATGAATTCGCCTAAGCTTTACACCTCTTGGATAATCATCCCTGACAGAGTAACCAAAACCACGGCCTCATATACTGAATTCTACTAATGGCAAAGATCTGAAGCACACAGACCAAGTCACGGAACTTTACAACATCCCTATGGTCCCTTACCCACCTTCCATGGAAAGTGTTCATGCCCAGTCCCTTCATCACTTTCAAATTCTGCTACTTTGTGCTGAGATAACAAACCATACCCACTACTTCCAGGCTCCCAAGAGCTGAATGCAACATACCCTAATGGAGCCAAGAAGATAAAAGAAGAAAGCCTAAGAGGACCAGTGCGAGTTGAATCCCCAGGAGGAAGAGACAGGTATGGGAGCTGCATGGTTAAATAATTTACTGGTAAAGCTAGTGATCAGGCAAGCCGTCCATCCACACCTTATTGAAACATCCTGACTTCCTTCTCACACAGGTCCTCCCTCAGAAGATTTCACTCAGTTCTTTATACTGCACACCAAGGAAGACATGGAATTTAGGTACAGGCCTATCACAGGCTGCTTTGGAGAGCACCAGCATACAAGACAAAGTACAGAGATCATAATTTTGGCAATTTCCAGATAATGTCACTGTATCTTTTTATGAAGTTTGTTGAACTCAACCAAAACTATTTAATATAACCTGAAACCTTATTAACCATAAATTCTAGTCAAGCCCTTAAGTCCATAGTCCTACTGGTCTTTTCTGAACGCTGTATTCAGGATGACTTGTTTTCTGCATCCAGTCACTTCAGCAATCTGCTTTTGGCAATGCCCTCTATTTATACCATATTAATTCTCTTGTGCACATACTGTGCCCATGTTTTGTTTCTTTAAGTTACTCACATCAGAATTTCTTAGATCAAGGGCAAAAACTGCCAAGCTTATTTTCTACAGAGTCTACTATGATTTCAGTGGCAAGTGACCTATATATCATCTTCATCCTTCAGATCCTGTAGCATTTGTGGCAATCTTAGCTGTTACACTGATGGTCTACATATTAGAGTACGCATATGAGCCAAGATAATAGATTTTTACTTCCTAACAGAGGCAACAGGGAGGATATACAACATGAAACGATCATCCTAACATGCATGTTTCAACTAGCCAATTTTAACATTTTGATGAGAAATTAGATTAGCCAAGAGGTTTAATTCAAACCTGTAAAACAGGACTCAGTAACACAAGAAAAGACCTATTCCATGCAGTACACTGGGCTATTTACAATAGTTACCTCATGAACAAAGGTGTTGCAGATCACAGACCAGCTCATATTTTGTTCTTAGAGCTTAAGGAGAAGGGCAAGAAAGGCTAATTGCCTGATGCTTCTAAAGTGACACTGTTTTGTTCAAAATGCTTCTAACTGAAGAAATAAGAAAATAACATTCAGCAACTCATGACTCACCTCTGTGTCTGGCCTCAATGATCTCAGGTAACTTTTGAGGTCCCCACGTGTCATCAGCTCCATGATAACCAGCGTAGGCTGGCCCTGAGAAACAACACCAAGCAGCCGAACCTGGAAAACGAGAAACAAACATTCAGTTACAAATACAGCTGACTGAAACGTAATAATCATTTATTCATGTTGATCTGGAGCCCCGAACACCCATGAACCTGTGGGAAAGATCTGACAGTAGACTTGGTTCCACTCTCTGACTCCTGTTTCACAATAAGATTATAAAGCTGCACAGAGTTGAAGCTAAAATCCCAAGTTACCGCCTCAGTGGGCGAAGACATGCCCTGAACACCCTCATGCCAATAAGCACCCCAGCTGCATGAATCACAGCCTCGTTACATTTTCATGACTTACCACATGGTGACAATTGAACTCCTTCATCACTGAGGCCTCATTTAAGAACTCTATCCTCTCACGCATGCTTGCAGACTCATTGACAGTCTTGATGGCCACCCTGGTCTCTGGCTCATCCTTCACCACTCCCTTGGCTATTCCTTCGTACACCATTCCGAAGGAGCCTTGCCCAAGCTCCCGACACATGGTGATCTTCTCACGGGGCACCTCCCATTCATCTGGAACATACACTAAGAAGGGAAAGAACAAGCCATGATGTTCCACTTCTGCAAGTGGTGTGACCACTCACCGCTTTAAGACACCAACTGCCCAAACAGTTTTACTGTAAAAAACACCACACACAATGCTGAGAACTTGCACAATGTATGCTAATAGTCCATGGTCTTTCCTATACAGAGATAGGTAGATGGATGCTTAGCATACACATAAATCTTAAAGATATGTGTAAATGGACTTGAAGTGGCCTCACTATGACACTGACATAACAGGATAGAAATAAGAACCTCAAAAGCACAAAACCAGGGTGGGAAGAAGCTTGAATCAATACTTTAGCCTTGAGCTTTTCTTGGGACCCGTGGTTTTCTAATTCTTCCAGACAGCATCAAACATACTTGATCATCTGAATCAGTTTAATGCCTGCTGTATTCTCTACTAACAGACTGATCTTATGACTAGAGGGAAACAGACTCTCTGATCTAGTAGGCTTTTTGCATGAAACTATTCTGATCACTTGCACACACACTATTGCAGCAGTTAAGGCACAGTTTGCTGCTGCTGCTGCAAATCTTTGATCTGAGGCAGGAGAGAGATCTCAAAAGGTGACTGCCAGGAGGGAGGAGTGCCTCAGGCAAGAAGACATCTGAGTAGTCACTGATGCTGCTGCCTATCAGTCACCAAAGGAGGGGACAGTTCTGTCACATGCTTTGGATGGGTGAAATGACAGGATGCAAAAATAGAGGATTATAGCATGAGCACTGACAGACCTTTAACCCTAATGGTGCCACTATAAAAAAACCCAACCAAACGAAAGAAAAACAGTCCACTGCCACTCTGACTAAACCCATTAGCCTCCTGGGGGCTTCTGGAAACCCTATTCCAGGAGGAAGTGTACAGCAGTAGCACCGAACTAAAACAGAAGAACTGATGCCTCAAGGAAATTTGTCTGATGTTCTGATTTCCTCCTGCACACGTACATAATCCATACTGTATGGGTACATGCTCGTTACAGACAAACACACCTCTACGCCTGTGCTTGTGTGAGGAAACAAATTCATTATCTAGCAAGTAGGGTTCCAGAGGGAACATAGTTGCTTTTTGCATTTTATTATTTTTTAGAGCAATTTATTTAGCCAGAAAACTGAATTTTCAGGATTCTCCATTCCACAGCAATCGCAGCACATGCTGCAGTTCTGACAATGCAGAGCTGAGGAGCCCTGGACTGTCAGGCTCATTCAGCTCCTGCTGCTGCTCAGGGACAGCCAACACAAGAACAAGTTCATCTACACCATCAGCAGGCACAACCTCCTCTGATACTGACGTACAAGAAAATGATACAGACATGCAGAGAGCAAAACCAAGAAAAGCATGCTGTTCTAGGAACACCAATTTTGTTTTAAAGAATTTTTATTTCCTGGAAGGTTTAAATACCTGAGCATTACCAACATTGTGTTTCCCACAGAAAATCTTAAGAAGTTAAAGGTGCCCCCTCAAAACCCAACATCTGACTTCAGAACTACAATTATTTGACTCTGTTAGGAGAGCATTCAACACAAATATACCACCTGGTGTCTAAACACTGCCACAGTCTAATACCTTTAAATGTTGCCACGGCCAAATATATACATCAGTCACAAATACATCAGGTCAGTTTGAAACTAGTTTTAAAAAACTGTTTCATCAGCTAGAGAAAAACAGGCTTATCTACGACTCCAGCTATTAAGAGAAACAAATACAGATGATAATAGACATCCATTTTAATCATTTTAACACAAAATTTCTGCATGTGATATGTCTGAAACCCCCCAAAATTGCTCCTCTCTAACTGTGAAAAGTTGTTGGAGAGTTTTATTGGGATGAGAAGTGAGGAGACAGTATCAGTTTTTGTAAGTGTTACTACTGTCCAGGTGAGAAGTATATAGAAACAAGCAGTAGGTTTGTTCCGATAGGTCAGAATAGGGCTTAAAAGGGGCAAACATAAAAGATGATTAATTTATGAATTCTTCCTTCATTCCAGTGAAAACATCACCGGATAAGTAGATGATAATCTGACAGTTTAGCTAACGCATCCAAATTTTCCTCTGCTAAATAAACTATAGGAAAAATTTCAAAAAATCCCATTTCAGACAGACAGACGACATTGACATATTATCAATGATGGATTCCATGGTTGTGCTAATAAAACAAAGAGAGAAAGCAGTTTTATAACATCGCTTTTAGAGTTTCATACCTTTCAAAGTCAGATATAAACAGAATATATGAAAATAAAAGCTTCAGAAGTGTAACGCCACACTTACCGTCTGAAGCACTGAAGTACTCGGGGTTCACAGAAGCATAAAGTACTCCATTGCCCAGCCTGTCACTGTTCCTGTTGAAAGAATTTTTTCTTTTTTAATCTTTAAACCTAAGTAAATTTCAGACAACCTCTTCTACAGCTTCTCCACCATTTACCCAACTACAGAATATTATTTACTGTATATGGAGAGCTTTAGAGACAAAGGGAACAAACTAAGTTTTTATTCTACCTCACATGCTCAATGGGAAAACAGCCCAGAATAGTCTTCCTAGGAAACCTGCAGTCTTCTCTACACCAAATCAGCACCAGAAAAGCTTAAACATGAGGTACTTCAGCTGCTGGGTAAACTTCCTTTAAGAAAGGCAGTTGTATGGTGATACACCCCAGAGACCTGTGGCTGAGAACACACTTTAACATCACCTGCTCTACTGTGGGAGGGAAGTGATCTAGCAAAGGCTAAGATGTTTTTAATGGGGAATTCTATTCAACTATAAGTGTTTCTATTATTTTATTTTAAAAAAAACACACACACCCCATCCATCCTCCTCGCCCCACCCAATTCACTAGAGCGATTTTCAGCATAAGAAATATTTATTCAGCACTGTGAGAGCTCTTGCAGGAGGCAGGCTGTAGAAATAAAATTATCAATTAGACCTCAGAAAAATCAAAGACAAAATGTTCTTGTGGGCTAGAACAACAGTTCAAAGAAGGATGAGTTATCAGGCATTTCACCAAGGAGAGCCCAAGGGAAGGCTAAGCAGGTACTGCACTTCACTAGATACAAAGCCCTTTCTGGAGTGCTTGAAGAGAACTGGTACTACTTTCTGCACACAAATGAATTTGAGCTGGAAATAATGGGATACTCAATCAGCATAATTTATACGAGTCTAATAAAAATCCACCATGCTTAGAAAGTTGCAAGGCTGAACATTTGCACTGACTTCTATTAAATTCTCATGATGTATTTTAAGTAAAATAAAAATAAAATCACTAGTTACAAAAAAAACCAAAATAAAAATAAAATCACTAGTTACAAAAAAACAAAACTGAGAAAAACAAATTAATAAAACAGTCCCCTAGACTTCTCTGTCCAGGATGCAAATTTTTAAGTGGATGTAAAGACTTCAAAAAACCTCTAGAATTTGCAAGAAAGCAAATTAATCTAAATAGAACTATGTTTTCATGATTTATATTGACCCATATTTCAGGCAAATCTTCCAGTTATAGGTTCAGTGTCTGCCATCACTGTCCCAGTGAGTATGTTCCTGAGAAGCCTTCCTCTTCCCTCTCGAACGTGATACTGTAATAAAAAGCCTCTTCATATCTCAAGCAGCAGTCAGATGCTTGCTGGTAACTCTAAACCACCTTCTTTTACACACCAACAAGAGAGAATTTACTTTCTCAAGTCCTCTGAATGCCATTTCTCTTTTTAATATCTAACTTGCTCCATGGCCACAGATTTGAAAATAAACACTCCCTTTCTGCTGTTTTAACCACAAGCAGATACAACTCACCTCTTTTTGTTGAAGACGTACAGCATTATCAGCAATCCCCCAATGATGAGCAGAAAAGCAATAGGGAGCACAATTATCAAGTGCAGGAAGTTTCCATAGTTTGCTGCTGCAACCAACAAGAAAACAATTGTATCAGGGTTTCTGTAAAATCTCCATTAACAAAGAAACATTCAAAACCCACTCAGTGCATTTCCATACAGGGAAGAAAATCAAAGTACTCATTTTCTTGTCTGATGTGGAAAAATGTACTCAGAAACAATCCCTGACTGCCGATGAGTGGAACAAGAAAACAGACAGGGAAAAGCATTAATTTTGTACAGAACAGTGTCTGTCTGGGGTTTGTTTTCACAAGTTATGCTGAAGGACTTACATTCCTCAGTGAACAATATGTAATTGTTCACTTACATATTCACCTTTTTCCACCTTCTGTTCACCTTGCAACTGCTTATAATAATATTCAGAATATATACACGCTGCTCTTTACTTCAAAGTCCAACAATTAGAAAACCGAAAAGGAATAAAAGTTGGAGTTCCAGTTTTCTGTTGATACACAGGGTCTATGTGCTCTACAACTAAATATAGAAGTTCTTGAGTGGGTCTCTGGACACTATGGTGGTGTTCTTCCAAAATATAAATTACTCCCAATGTCAGGACAAGCAGCACCCTTTCATCAGGATGTTATCTTTATCAAACGTCACATCTTGAAATGAAAAAGCATCTGGATACTTTAAAAATCCTGCCTGCCAAAATCTAAACAAATGATTTGTTTCTTGTATTATTTTGCTATTTAAAACAGGTTTGTCTTATTGTCCGGGTTTTGTACAATCCAACTCCATGTTGTTACAGCTAATGTTACATTCCCAACATAGTTGTACATCAAAGGAAGCCACAGTAGTGTGTTCCACACACCCACCACCTGATTGCACCTCTCATATATATACAATGCATGCAAGAAAAGGACCACACCTCAGATACACGTCCTGGTTGTCAAGACTTGCCAAAAAAATGGAACAGAGATGAGTTCCCAAAGACACATCAGTAAATAAGAGGAGTATTCAGTGTACAGGCATGAAGCCCATATGCCCCAGTTACATAGACAAACATCAGGAATTATTAAAAAGACAATAGTCCCCCGGTTTGACACAGCCAACAAACATTAGTCTTACATTTGGGTTGCACATAGAAAGAGACTGGTTCAGTCCATGAACCATTTCCAGCTAACGAAGTGGCCTGAACTCTAGCAGAATAGTTTCCAGGGTTCAGATGAGTCAGTTTAGCTCCTCCAAGCTTCTTGTATTCCTGTCTGGAAACACATTCTCGTTTCTCCTAAAAGGAAAAAGCCATTAACATTTACAGTTCACGTTAATATCTTCACATTCCTTTATTCTTGAGAAAACAATATAACTGCAGGATAAGCTAATTTTTATAACTCAAAGCCCCATCTGATCAGTTTTTCTTCAAGTACCTTCAGGAGATATGTGGAATTCAAAAACTGTCAAAATAAATGAAACAAAGGAATGGCATGCTGGTTGGTGCTGGGTGTTTGAAATGATAATTTCTATCTTAGGTCTGCAGCACTGCACAGAAGCACGTTAAGGAAGATCCCATTTTGTGTATAAATTAAGAGTTACGAGCAGTACCTCTTCACAGAGGAATGTCAAATCCTCACCTCTCCATGCTGCCCATATTTGATTTCATACATTAGTATCAACCCATTCGGATTTGCAGGTTCTAACCACTTCAGGTAGACAGTATTTTCTTCTTTTGCTTCCCATGCTACCGTTCCTGGAATGTTATCTGCTCCCTCTGTAAAATATTTACAAGTGATGTGAGAAGAACACCTATTACTGAAACAATAACTTACACAAAGAAAATAAAAAGTTCATGCTATTTCTTCAGGTATCAAACCATTACAGTAAGTGCTATTCAAAGATCTGGAGAACAAAACGCACTGACCAGGGGCCTGCTGGAGAGATTAGCAGACTCTGAGCTGCTAGTTGCCCAAAAAAGTGTGGTGTATACAGCTTCACCAGGTATGGGCTCTGTGTTAGTCACTGTGCTTTGTGTGCCAAAACACCTGTTTATCTGGTTCTTCTTTCCAAACTTTCCACTACACGGAAGCGGTGGAGACAGCTATTCCCACCACATGGCTGTCAACAGCAACCTGTCTGCAAATGGCTGCAAACGCACAAGATCCAGTCTTAGGGGATGTGTTGCCATTTAAAACAGAGTCTCATCAGCAATTCAGGAACTGCGTTACCCCTGTTTCATTCCTGATCATTTTCTGTGTTTTATTCAAAACTTAACAGGAATATGAAGACCATTTCAGTCAAAGAAAAAAAGACCACTTTTTCAAAAACACAGTTGTTAGGTTTAGAAGAAAACAGAATTGTTTAGCCTTTAATTTTCAGAACCATGTGCTAAAAATCTGGGAACACTTATTTCCTTTTCCCTGATCTCACAGATTTCCTTATTTCCTTGAAATAAGCAATACTTTTTGCTTTTTTACTGACACAGCTGGATCTGGGTTATGTTAGTCTTTCCTTCCAGAAACAAAACAAAATTGCTGCCATTCTGCATCAAATATTCCCAGACATCTGTTGGAGTCAGAAGCTCTTTGCTGGATGTATATGAGCTTACACTAAAATCATCTCTATTCTTCTCAGAAGAAGTACAATCTGTAAAAGTCCCAAACATGAGTAGAGCATTCAATGCTTCCTATTTGAAGTACTCTAGATGCTGGCGATTGGGCACAAAGCAACACAGTACTCCTCCTGTTTCCAAGCAGGACAAATGCATGGTCATTCTGCGACAGAAGAAACATTTGGCAAACATTCCCACCAGCAAAACTCTAACATCTGCAAACAGTTCCAAGTGAACACAGCAAAACTAAACATTAGCAGAGAAACGTTGCCCTGTCTCCATTCAGCATACAGGCAACTGAAGAATAAAACCTTTCAACCCACCATGTCTGTGGGTCTCACCTATATCGCTGGGAAATGGATTCTCTCATAATTGTCTCAGTAGTCAATGTGCACACTTCTACCTTTCTTCAGATCACAGGACAGACTCAATATGTATCACACAAGAGACCAGTTAAGGACATTAAACTACTGTAACAAAGTTTTATATAGTTCTAACTTATTTCCTTGCATAGAATTTTTTATTACACCCTAATGTTTTTCTAAATGTTTTTGGAGACTTTGTCCTCCCTGAGATTGATCTCTCCCCAGGAAATAAAGCAAAGCTTTATACTTGTGAGAGCATACCTGAAGGCATGGTTCTTGCAAAGACAAAGTTGGAAGCGCTACAACCAAGTGTGTCAGCTTCGTGGTTGCAGCTGTGAATATCAATGCGGTAAAGAGTAAAAGGCTGGAGATGGGAGATGACAGTTCTCTCCTTGCCATCCACTTTGGTCTCAAAGAACGGGTATTCCACCTCACTCTCCTCTGCGTCAGAAACATTGGTGAAGTGATCTGTCCCAGTCGCATTCCTGTTTCGAGTGGCCAAAGTGGCATTTGCGATTCGGAACACATCCCTCCGCTTCCGATCGGGTCTGTGGAGTAAACAGGAGTAGAAAAGGTAGAAAATCCACTTTCTCTCCAGCTCTGGGAAAGTTACAAAACCCCCCAGTAAAATAGGTAGCTCTGCTATTAAAAAAAAAAAATAAAATAAAGGGAACTGCAAAAAAAGACGAAAGCTTTCTCTTAATCTGAACCTGCAGCATGTCAGCACATCCTATTACTCTCTCTTTTGGTCAGAAACCAATCAAAACTCTGAAGTTCACACTGTGCCCCAAGATAAACATGCGAACTTCTGACCCCACACAATAAACCAAATGGCAAAAATGGATTCACTGTTATTCAATAAGCATCCTAGATGTGTATTTAATGAGAGTAATGTTGATGCTTAAAATAAAAATCAGATGTTAAAGGTTGAAAAGGTTAGCAAAAAAACCTGTTTTTAAGTTTGCTGGATTAGCAAAGCTAACTCTCAGTAGACTTTCTTTTCAGCTGCAAGGAAATTACAGAACTTCAAATGTATTGCACTAAGAAACCCTGGAAGGTAGCTGAAGATCATGAACATTAACACCACTACAGTGTGGTGATTCATGTATTCTACTTCTCTTACCCAAACAAAAGGTCTCCAAAGGAACAATCTTCCTATATGAGTAAACACAGTACTAATATTGTGCACAGCAGAGAGTTCACCAAGCAACTTGGCTTGTCCTTACAGGCATCAGTATGAAATTTATGCAGTTAAAAGCTTGAAGATTTACAGCAACACCACTACCTTATGAAGTCTAAGAAACTGTTGTAGTGAATAGCCCTGAGTATCAGTACAAGAGTCAATATGAAAATACTCAAACATTTGGATGGTATTAGTTAACCAACACAAGATTGCTACACATTGGGCTTGTCACTCGGTCTTGTGTCAGACCCAAGGCCATTTTGCACAGCAGCACTCACTAACGACACAGGGCAAGCTGGCTTTTCCAGCTCCTGCTCTCCCAGCCTCTGAAGTCTGCAGGACTGCTCACACCTGGAAAACAACGCACCAGGGGAGTTACACAAGAATGCAAGAAGGGTCACGCTCCAAAAACTGGCTTGAATCCTACCCTACCTGAAATCACTTAGCCAGTGCCTGTTTAGCACCTGGTCAGTGCAACGGTTATCAAGGACAAAGGTGAAGTCTAACACATTTCTATCAGAGAGCAAGTTACAAACCAGACAAATAAGGTCTCCCTCAAACACACAACAGGAAGAAAGATGACTCAACAGGAGAAGTTAATTCACTGTCAAATATACTGTCATAGTACATTCAGCCACAAAACAGCATGCTGCAGAGAGAGCCAAAAACAGGCTGACTTGGTTTTGAAATCTTCTGGCAGAGGTTGGATGAATTTTTTTTTAGGAGTTCACTACAAAATTTTCCAAAATCCTTTTACTATGTCTTGAGTAGTCGTTTTGACACTCTCAGATGCCATGTAAACCACAGCACTGAAATAAAATGAAGACAAGGAAAAAACTTCCTAAATTACCAGGAAAATTGTTTCACGCAACATACAAGTGAATGTCTCAACTTGTCAGTAGGGTATGGGGGAATTTCATAGGAGATGTAAGCACTTGCATCTCCTCTACACTGGTATTTATGGAAGTTACTAAACCTATTCACCTTGCTTAGGATGAGCTTTTTATTATTTACTGCTTTAACTCAGTGTAACGAACTAACTTTTAAACCACTAAAAGCACACAGGATGCCCAGCAATGAACTGATGAATATTTGCACAGATTTTGTGACAAAAGCAGTGAAAATAAAAAGGTCATTTTCAATCAACCACAGAAGCATGTGCCAACACAAGAACCCAAAAGGCATGACTTCATCTATCTTTTATGGGATGCATGAAGTTTCAACTTTTTGGTGGTATTGGGTTGGGGGGAGTACAGTCCTACCTTTTCTTTGGGGAATAACATAAAGAGAAAGCAACACACAACTTGGTGAAAACTACAGTCATAGCAGGAAGAGAAAGAGACCTGCAGGATAACCACAAGGCAAACGTGATTAAAACATCAAGAGAATTGACACCATCGGTTCTTGGTCAGGCAGCTTCCTGGTTTTGTGAAAGCCACAGATAAAGACAAAAACAAGCATCCAAGGAAATAAGGAAAAGTTTGGAGATAAAAACATGAAAATTCATCTATTCTCTTAAAGGAAAGTAAGAGAAATGCAAGAGAAAAATTAAAAAATAACACTATAAAAAATTAAATCTAAATGAAATTAAAAAGAAGAAAAAATGTGGGTCATTTAATATCAAAGCTAACTGTTCTCATACGTTATGGCAGTTTTAATGTTACTTCTCAGATACCTTCTACTACACAGAAAGCCCATAATTAGAGAAACTAAAAACTTGAAGAATAACTCATCCTCCTGTGGTTGTGTCACCAAGAATAACCAGAGTCCTAATGTTTGAAATCTACCTCACCACTGCAGTAATAAACATGGGGTCATCCAGAAGTTGCACACAAGATTAGACCAACACGCTTTTTCAAGAAACTTAAAATCACCCAGTCAAATATTTTCACGCCGTATTACATGCTGCATCTCTTTCATAATATCCTGGAGACAGGTAGAACACTGGAAGCAAATACTACCACAGAGGCTTGCACTAACACATTAACTGATTTCTCCCTTGGGAAAGAGAAAAAAAATAGACATGAGCAAGTAATGAGCTGCTTAGATTTGTCCCATGGAGATGTCTCACTAGCTCATAATCTTTAATTTCCCTGACATACAGTCACTTTAAAGTTGCTTAGCTCTGCAGCTATTTCTGAGTTGTACCTTATCTGCCCTTGCTGTTACAAAACACACCCTTATGACAGTAAGTTAAGAAAAAAGGAAAACAGACAAGCTTTCAGGAAATCCTTTGTGAACTGGTCAGTTTATTTGTTACTGTCTGAGTTCAAGGTTCTGTTAGTTTGTTTCCTTTGGGAGGAGGAGAACACAAGAAAATTTTGGAGAAGATAACACATTTTAAATAACAAAGCTTTGGTGAAATAAAAAAATTCCTTTGCAGCAGACTTTTAGGTTGTTTAGACCCAACACTTGCCTTTCAAAATCCTTGCTGTGCTATTTCATACAGTCCAAAAATCAGATCACATTTACGAGACTCCACACTGCTCAGGAATTACGTCCTAGCCAGTCATGGTGACTGTTATTTCTCTGTACCTCATTTTTGCTGTCGGTTCTCATCATTAGTAGGGACACACTGCCCAAGTTCAACCACAAATGATAAATGTGACTCAAACACTGCTCAGATACAATACTTCGCACTTCCAAAGAGAGGCAGTATTTATTTCCTCATTTTTTGGATAGAAATAAGAAGTTCTGCACATGTATCAGTTCCAATCCCAAACAAGTCAATCCAACACAACCTTGAATAAAGGTCCAAAAAAATCACAATGGAGAGTGATATAAATCAATTTTAATGAGCAGCAATGTCACATTTCAGAGTTTGCAAACACTGGACTTGACCATAAACTTCACCTGCCAGAGACAACAAGATAACATGCACAATTGAAATTCGATTGCTTATAGACTGTAACATAAAAGCTATACACTGTGTGCTAGGCCCCAGGATCCAATTATCTCAAGTAAGAACGGCTTACATGAAGGATAAATTGGAAACTCAAGGATCAAAATCGCCAATTAATTCAGTAGTATCTACTCTATGTTGCAGCATAAAATCGTTACTATTCCACTTAATGTGTAAGCGGTAGTGTTTATCATGGAAGAGTGGGCATATTTAATACTTCTCTGCAGCACAGACCCAGGAAACCAATATGCCTTTGCAATTAGTGCAGTGAGAAAGGAAGACCGGTTTCAATTCCGTGAGGTGACTATGCCCTCAATTTCAAAGGCAAATAAATCTTCAGATTAGGAACACAAGCACTTAAATGGCTATTTAGAGAAAGATTACATCTGAAACCCTTTGTCTGCAACATGTTGCTCATCTCTGAAACCCTCATAGACAAAGAGCTCCTCAAGTGACTCTTGACTCTGAAAAGAAACCATCACTAAAGTCCTTGAACAATATAGGTAAGAACCATTACTATTAGCTAAAATTTAGAGAAAGAATTGAAAATCAGTGAATAACAGAAACTGCAAAGCAAGACTGTGGATGATCTCACATAAAGAAAAAGGCAACGTTTATGTGGTTTAGATGTTATCTACATATGCTTTCATGTCCAGGAAGTCTCAGCTCTAGGAAACGTTAAAAAAATAAATTATTATCCCCACTGCAAAGAGAAAGTGTCCAAAATCCATTACCTGGGGACAAAGATGGAGTTGTGAAGGAAGTTCTCAAAGACTTTCCGGTACTCTGCCTCCTCCTTCTCAGCTTGCTTTTCTGCCTCTGTCTTGGGACAAGCACAACAAGGTCCTTTTTCTCCCCCACAGCCCTCTGGCTTGGTGGGTTCAGTAGCTTCTTCTGTATCAATGGTCCCATCAGCATATCTTCGAATTGGGACTTTATCTTAAAAGAAATTAACAAAGGCAGCTTGTTTCTTCTCTCTCCATATTATGAACAGAGCAACAATCCATGTTTACCCATTTCCTTCTACTTGCTGTTATTCACAAAAGAGTTGTGAAGCGGGGCACAGACTTTAGCTCATCAATAAAGTATACTGGCAGGTAAGAATCACAGGCATTTCAACACAACCACGTTTCATTTTCCTACCTTTGGAGCAGTAATTGTGTCTGTAAAGGTAACTGTCCTGAGGTTGCTGCTGCCATCGTACGATGTAGTATGAGAGGTTGCCATTGGGAAGAGACGGAGGATTCCATTTCACAATCAGTTGGGATGAGGAGTTGGATGCTGAAATAACATCCAAAGGAATGGATGGCACTGGGCGGGGGGGGGGAAAGGAAAAAAAGGAAGGTATTTAGAGCATTCTACAATGTATTTCGATGCAAGCTGATGAACCGAATCCCAATCCATTTCTATATTGCAAGAAAAAACACATCTATTTCAACAAAAAGATTTCCTACTTAAGCCCTAACAATGGTTATTAAGGGTTCAACTGCAACCACTTACAGTCCCAATCCAAAATTGTATGTTAACTTACCGTCACCAATGGAACAAAGTCTGAATCCCAAACTCCAAAAAACTCTCACAGTTCCCAATGAAAACAACGTCTGAACAACCACAGAGTTTAAATTAAGATCTTAATGCTGCTTTCATAATTACTGAAACTTTCTAGCATTATGCACATCATCTGCACCTAAATTCAATTTCTGCATTAACAACAGAACTTGCGTAATGATATAATAAGCACACCTGCAGCATTATCTAACTCCTACCCAAAAGCCCATGCTCTCACCTGCAGCATTAGTTCGTATGTATACAATTTCACTTTTTGCTCCATGAATATGATGGTTTTCCATCATCGTGAGGGTAACAGCCTTGACATAAATGGCATATTGAGTCCAAGGTTTCAACCCCTGCAGTAGAATTCCTGGATTGTTCTCTTTGTTTGGTGGCAGGTCAACATCGACCATGTTCCAGCTGTTAGAGCCACATGCATCTTGCCCATCGTACTCTGTCACATTTTTGAATGGTCTGGAATATTAAAAGAAAACAATAGTACAAAACATTTATTTTCTTCTATAATTGTCATATATTTATGACTGCCTCACTTCAATGTTGCTCAACAAGACAAGTAAAGCTCACTTGTTTTCCATAGCAGAATAAAAAAAATAAAATTCATATTTATTTCCAAGCACTACACAATTTAGAGTTCAGCTTCAGCTGCAGGTCTCATCTTCAGCCACTACAAATAATACCAAGTTCTCCAAGAAAACACTAAATTTCCCATTTTTTTTTAAATCCAGAACAGTGAAATGCTTTAGACATTTTTTGATTTTAGCTAAGCATATATGAAACAGAAGCAACTCAGAAAAGTTACTGACAGTGGATGAGCTTTTTACCATAAAGAACTCAAACTTCCATGACTGGCCTTGTCCAGTCCAACATGCTTTTCTCCCTCTTTAATTTCAACACAATACAAACACACTTATATGGTCACATGGTTCTACTTTTTGTAAGTTGCAACACTGGCACAAGAGCACATAAAGTAGTATTCTTGTTATTAATTACCATCAACTCATCAGCACTACGTTTATCTCATCGTAGTACACTGTCACAGTGATATTCTTTTTCAAACAATGCTGGAGATCAACAATTTGTGTTTCTGTTTCTCAGAGACTTGCTCTGTATGCCATTACCAGCATTCTGAACTCTCTTTCACACCTCCAAACTGCTTCGACAGTTATTATATGCTCATAAGTATTTTTTACTGTTTTAAAATCTGAGATGCTACAAGGATATGCAAAGGCAGAGACACCTCCCTAGAAATTAGGATCTCTCCAGTAACTGCCCCACTCCTTCATTATCAAGAGATACTAATGCAGAAAACTACCAAAGCCAGATTATCTAAATAACCCCAACCCTAAGAAGATAAGTCATCAAGGTGATGGCAAACTCCTGATCTGTGATGCTCTCTAGTCAGTACTATGACTAGAGAAGGAAAAGATCTCAGTAAGCATGACATGACTTACAAGGAGCGTCAAATTATACCCCTGAGAACAGCCAAGCCATCCACCTTCCCCGCCAGAGAGAAG